CCCCCCGCTTCTCCGTACTACCTGACCTTGCAAACTCATGGGAACACATTCACACCAGCTTCTGGCTGAGTGCTCCCGAGTCTCACCCACTGCCTGGCATGTGGCCACCGCTCTGGACACACCCCTGGGGGTCTCGGAGCGCCTCTCCCGCGACACCCATCACAGGAAGCGCTTCTCTAGACAGCCCAGGCCCGAGACCCTGGGCTCATCCCGGATTCTTCCCTTCTCTCCACGTTCTGAGCACAGTGAGCTCTTCCGCCTTGATCTCAAAGTGTATCTTTACTCCACTCCCCGCCCTCCCTTTTACTGCCACACCTCGTCCTGACCGCGGTCTCGGCTAGACACACCCTCGCGGGGGGCCTGCTTCCACTCCCACCTTAAAGCCCTTTCGGCACAAAGTGAAAGCACACTTCTTTAGGCCAACTGGGTCCTGTCAGTTGGTGGCTGCCACCTTGAAAGGCCAGTCCCAACACGGGCCATCACCTGTAGGGGCCCTCTTGCCCCTCCCCGGGCTTCAGCGGTGCTCCTCGCATCCCTCCAAGAACCAGGGAGAGGAGGAGAACTCCAGGGGGCTCTCAGACACTGGTTCCTGGAATTACAACCTCTTCCCATCGCCCCCTCCCAGGGGCTGCCCCTTGAGGTCTCCACTGGAATGTTGCTCCTCCAGGAGCCCTCCAGCCCCATCTTAAGGGCACCCATCAATCTCAGTGCCCACCCCGCCCTTCTCTGATTCTTTCACTACACTTACCAGAATCGGTCATTTATCTCTTCCGTCGGTTCTGTTACAGTTTTTAACCTATCCCCTAAAATTAAAAGGTGCGCTCCACGAGGTCAGAGCGCCAGCCTGTCCGCCAAACAAATGGCTAGCAAACAACTGCTGAATTAATAAGCCTTAAGTAAACATGACTTGGGAGAACCAGTCACCTTCTTGACAGTTCTCCAACACAACAGAGAACAGACTCCCTGCAGCTCCAGCTCCCTGCCCAGCCCAGCCTGAGGGGCCCCGGCAGCCCAAGCGGCACCCTGGGGCCTGGAGAGCAGCCCCCCAACATAGCTGACCAGGAGTTAATGTGCTGGTTCTCCACCAACCCTCTGAATATCCACCTTCAGAAAGTACATGACTCTCACCAGTAAGGAAACTCTTCTGCTGATTAAATAAATCTAATCCAATGTCTAGCTCTGTAACCCTAGGCAATTCATTTTAACATTATCGATTCCACGTTTCTCTTTCATCAAGTCTAGAGGCTGGATCAAATACTGCTACTATTCCTGATGAGGAGTAAAAATAACACAGCCCACTCACCAAGGGCCAGACCCCACTTTACGTGTATCATATCACTTAATTCCAGTAACGCTGAAAGGCCGGTAGTATTACCAGTCCGAGTTTACAGATAAGGAAACCTGGGCACAGAGAGGTTATGCAACTTGTGTAGGGTCACACAGTAGGTGGATTCAGGCTTTGAGTTCTGAGATCTCTTCCAACTCCTGAAACCTAAGGCTGGAATATCCTGTCATCAATGTTCCTGAGACGCACAATCAGGCACCTACCTGTGCACAGTAGAATCTTGCCCTGAGTCAGATACTTGATGGTTTCTGATGTTTTTCTGAGACACTCCTTGGAAAGGTAGGGGGGATCTGCTATTACGATGTCAAAACTATGTGCGGCAATTTTTTCAGGTAAATCCAATGGATTATTGTAATCATAGAAGATAAACTCCTCTCCGTATATAGCAAATCTTTTGTCATATTCAAAGATGTATACAGAAAAGTCTTCTCTGTGTAGGGCTCTCAGTTTCTGGTAAACACTGGGGGCACTCACACAGGCTATTCTAGAAAACAAAAGGAACAGACTCATGAAAGATCTTTAATGGATAGCTTACGGTGTTAAGTAACAACTACTTCTCTAAGAAAATACAGGTCCTTGCATTCCGATTTTAATCAGAGTGCAAGCTAATGTAAAGGCAGTAAATTTTGAGAGAAAACTATACTACCTCACTTTTAAGGAATCTGGTGTTTAAAAATCCTGCAACTCATAATTTTAAGGTATGAAAGAATAACTGTGCTTTTTTATAGTAAAAAATGTAAGACATTAGGAACACATTAGGAAGAAAGTTAGATAGCCCAAGGCTTAAATTTGCTTATTATTTTCATGTTGGTCCTTGTTTTGACATTTATTTCCAATACTTTTAGTCTCAAATTAAGTATTTTGAAGTTACTTTGTAATATTCATAATCTAGAGAAGAAAACCCCAAACTATTGCCTCAATAACTTGTTTTCCACAGATACCCTAAAATTCAACCTCAGTGCAGACAAGCTACTTTAAATTTCTGCTTCTTTTTTGTGTAAGGAAACCAAAGAATCTGTTTCATTATAAGCAATCCCTAGTTTATGAATGGGTAGTGCTCCAACATTTAACTTTAAAACCAACTACTAAAAAGCTAGAAGTAACCTAAATATTGAATTACTGAGCTGAATATCTATTAAACGGAATGCTATGTAGTCATTACCCTGCAAGATACTCAAGAAGTAAGTGTAAACCATGCCTTTTTTTATTATTATTATTAGTTTCAGAGGTAGAATTTAGTGATTCATCAGTTGCATATAACACCCAGTGCTCATTACATCACATGCCCTTTTTTTTTTTTTTAAAGATTTTATTTATTTATTTGAGAGAGAGAGAACATGAGAGGGGGGAGGGTCAGAGGGAGAAGTAGACTCCCTGCTGAGCAGGGAGCCTGATGCGGGACTCGATCCTGGGACTCCAGGATCATGACCTGAGCCGAAGGCAGTCGCTTAACCAACTGAGCCACCCGGGTGCCCATCATCACGTGCTCTCCTTAATGCCCATCACCCAATTACCCTATCCCCCTAACCCCCCTCCCCTCCAGCAACCCTCAGTTTGTTTTCTAGAGTCCAGTATCTCATGGTTTGTCTCCCTCTCAATTTTCATCTGATTTTATTTTTCCCACCCTTCCCCTATGTTCATCTGTTCTTTCTTAAATTCCACATGAGTGAAATCATACAGTATTTGTCTTTCTCTGACTTATTTTGCTTAGCATAATACCCTCTAGCTCTATCCATGTTGTTGCAAATGGCAAGATTTCATTCTTTTGATGGCTGCATAATATTCCATTGTATATAGGGGCACCTGGGTGGCTCAATGGTTAAGCGTCTGCCTTCGGCTCAGGTCATGATCCCAGGGTCCTGGGATCGAGCCCCACATCGGGCTCCCTGCTCCACGGGAAGCCTGTTTCTCCCTCTCCCACTCTCCCTGCTTGTGTTCCTGCTCCCACTATCTCTGTCAAAAAAAAAAAAAATTCCATTGTATATATATACCACATCTTCTTTGTCCATTCAACTGTTGATGGACATCTGGGCTCTTTCCATAGTTTGGCTATTGTGGACATTGCTGCTATAAACACTGGGGTGCATGTGCCCCTTTGGATCACTGTGTTTGCATCCTTTGGGTAAATACCTTGTAGTGCAATTGCTGAGTCATAGGGTAGCTCTATTTTTAACTTTTTGAGGAACCCCCATACTGTTTTCCAGAGTGGCTGCACCAGTTTGTATTCCCACCAACAGTGTAAGAGGGTTCCCTTTTCTCCACATCCTCCCCCGGGATCTGTTCCCTGTCTTGTTAATTTTAGGTATTCTGACCGGTGTGAGGTGGGATCTCATTGTGGTTTCGTTTTGTATTTCCCTGATCCGAATGATGTGGAGCACTTTTTCATGTGTCTGTTGGCCATGGTATGTCTTTTTTGGAAAAATATCTGTTCATATCTTCTGCCCATTTCTTGACTGGATTTTTGTTTTTTGGGTGTTGAGTTTGATAAGTTCTTTATAGATTTTTGATACTGGCCCTTTATCTGATATGTCATTTGCAAATATCTTCTCCCATTCTGTCGATTGTCTTTTGGTTTTGTTTACTGTTTCCTTTGCTGTGCAAAAGTTTTTTATCTTGATGGAAGTCCCAATAGTTCATTTTTGCCCTTGCTTCCCTTGCCTTTGGCGATGTTTCTAGAAAGAAGTTGCTGCGGCCGAGGTCAAAGAGGTTGCTGCCTGCATTCTCCTCTAGGACTTTGATGGATTCCTGTCTCACATTTAGTTCCTTCATCCATTTTGAGTTTATCTTTGTGCATGGTGTAAGAAAATGGTCCAGATTCATTCTTTTGCATGTGGCTGTCCAATCTTCCCAGCACCATTTATTGAGGAGACTCTTTTTTTCCACTGGATAGTCTTTCCTGCTTTGTCAGAGATTAGTTAACCATAGAGTTGATGGTCCATTTCTGGATTCTTTATTCTGTTCCATTGATCTATGTGTCTGTTTTTGTGCCAGTACCATACTGTCTTGATGATTATGGCTTTGTAATAGAGCTTGAAGTCCGGAATTGTGATGCCTCCAGCTTTAGTTTTCAACATTCCTTTGGCTATTCAGTGTCTTTTGTGGTTCAACACAAATTTTAGGATTATTTGAGTCAGCTCTATGAAAAATGCTGATGGTATTTTTTTTTTTTTAAGATTTTATTTATTTATTTAATTGACACAGAGAGAGAGACAGTGTGAGAGGGAACACAAGCAGGGGAAGTGGGAGAGGGAGAAGCAGGCTTCCCGTGGAGCAGGGAGCCCGATGCAGGGCTCGATCCCAGGACCTTGGGATCATGACCTGAGCCGAAGGCATTCGCTTAACCAACTGAGCCACCCAGGCGCCCCAATGCTGATGGTATTTTGATAGGGAATGCACTGAATGTGTAGATTGCTTTGGGTAGCACAGACATTTTAACAGTATTTGCTCTTCCCATCCAGGAGCATGGAATGTTTTTCCATTTATGTCTTCCTCAATTTCTTTCTTTCTTTTTTTTTTTTTTTAAAGATTTTATTTATTTATTTGAGAGAGAGAATGAGAGAGAGAGAGAGAGCACATGAGAGGGGGGAGGGTCAGAGGGA